ACACATCAAGAAGGGGTCAGCAAGTATTGTTTTTAAATAGAATTGTATTAAGGTATTGCGCAAATCTGCTTCCAAAGTGATTACACCACAAAGACATTAAAACAAATTGCATTGTTATTCCCTGTGCAAGGTAAATATAGTTTAAGGTTATTTCCATAGGAAAGGATTGTTTGCACTCACTTTGTCAAAGACATTACATTTTCAGTCCCACAGGGCTGTTTCTAATTACTACAGGGAAGAGACTTCTAATTGCTGTTGTAAGCATTTCCAAACTGTTTTATGCAGTTTTATTCATTTTTTCACCAGTTTTGAAGTCAAAACAATAATATATCGCAGTTTAATGCATAGTGTGCATTCCTGCTGCCACATAAATGGTGTCTGTAAACATTTCTGTGAATTCAAGGGAAACAAGATTGAGGAAGATGTTCGTATTACCTTAAAAAAGTGGTGACTTACTAAATGGCATCAGGAAATGAAACAGCAAAAGACATGCTACCATATGAAAAGGATATTGTAAATTAACAATCAAATCTTTCTACAGTTAGGACACATGGGGTGGATTTACTAAAGGCAAATAGGACTTTCACTTTGCAAGGGACTTTTCACTTCACAGTAAATCAGGTAAAGCTCTGATGACTTCCATCATTTAATTATGTGCAAGCAAATTTAGTCTTTCTCATTTTCATTGCATGTGACTAGATGTTCTTTGCAAAGTGAACTGCAGCTTGAGCATGGCACATGGTAAATGAGCATAGTTTACAAGATTTAAACACTGAAAAGCTAAAATGCAGATACTGATTCTAAATGTATGACAAATAGGGGTCTATTCACAAAGCTGCCGAGGGCAGCCGAGTGAATGACCGATCAGAAGTGAAGTGAGCCGAACACTGTTCGGCTATTCACTTCAGGCTGGTACGGCTGATTTCAGCCGTATATCGGCTGAAATAGCACTATTTGGATTTTCCACTTCCACCAAGAAAGTGGTGAATATTGCACTTGTTGGCTCTACTCCATTTGTAGCAGTCTTGACCCTTATCTCTCTGAACTCCTATCCTATATACTTTTTGCAAGCCAGTATCAGCGTGAAAGCAATTCAGCAAGTCATGTTTGCCCTCACAGGTTCAATTTATTGGAGATAGAATAAAACACACACTTCGTGTGACAAACAGAGGTTTATTTACTTGGCCCCTTTCACACGGATGTATGCCAGTGTGCCAGTGCTGTACAGTATGGAACGGATGTCTCCATTGTGACATGCATGTCTGTCCAGTCTTTTACTCCATCTTGCAACGGAGTAAAACATTTAACTTACCAGACTCATTGCAGGTTTATGGGGAGTCATATAAATTGAAGTGCCCATTTACATTACCCCCAATTCATTACAATAAGGTCTGCCAAAATGAAACTCTATTCCATTTGGTTTTCCGGACCTGGTCGGAGTCATGGGTAATTGGATGTAAACAGACACATGTCCGTTGTAATGCAACAATCAGGTATTATACCTTCCAGTAGGAACACAACTGCAAACGTCACTTAATGGTACTTAGATCTAAGAGTGTCACTCAGGATATACACGTAATTCAATTATGAGAACAGATCAATGTCCACTTTAAGCAACCCGTTATCTTACAGCAAGGTTCATCAGCTCAAGGTAGCAAATATCAGCAATGATTCCAACAAGATGGAGTGATCATCAATGGATTATAAAGCATAACTTCAACGTGCGTTCCTCATATAATATCACAGTTCATCGATATGCATAGAGGATTGTGCAAACTATAACTGAAGGTAAACAAGATGTTTCGTCACTTCTAAGGTTCACAAAGAAATACAAAAGTCCATAGGATTTTTAGAGAGTACTTGCGTTTTGGTAGAATTCCTATAAGTTTATCCTTTCCAGCAATGTGGATTCAAGCTGATCCAAGACACTGACTCTGTAGTGGCTATTAAGAGCAAAAAGTCCAGTTGAGCTCACTGCAGTCAGTTGTGGACAGCAATGGATGACAGCAATCTGGAGCACAGTGGCAGCTTCTGTGGAAGAGCAGGAGGGACCACAAGTCCCAGTTGCATTAGCCAGCTTGAGGGGGGGGCAAAGGATAGTAGCAATTGCCCAGCGCTTGCTGTATTGCTCAGACGCCGAGCAATTGACAGTCTTCGACTTAAGCCGTCTACTGGGGAGGAGCCATGTGATGTAGCGATAAGGTGGGCGGAGCTACCCACCAATCCCGAAACGCCGGAGAACCCGACGAGGTAAGTACATTACATCAGTTTAGTTCCAGCTGCCCATAGACTAACATTGGGCTTCTAACCAGATCCACCTGAAAACCTTGACAGGCAGATCTGATTGAACCACCCATCTGAAAGGGGTCTAAAGAGAATGGTCATACAATACAGTGTGTGAAGATTCACTTCAACTATCCAACCATAAGAAAACAAGATTCCTTGTTAATTATTTCATTTGCATATAAATGGATAATTGAAGTGAATCTTCACTTTTTATTGTGTGAACATTTCCAAATCCTTTAGTAAATCAGCCTCATTGTATTTATTTGCAAAGTGTAACTTATAAAGATCACAAAGTCAATTATTCCTAATGGTGCTGTATACTCATATATATTAATTTTGGGAAACTCATTATTTATTAATTTCTCTGATCCTGAATCTTTTCAGATTGTACTTAATGGAAAATGTTTGGATTGAATAGAGGCATATAATTAAACTGTGAAAAGAGAATTCACAAGTGTATTTTTCTTGTTTTAATTCACTTGAAATGAAAATGTATCTAAGAAAAAATCTATTAGGCACGTGTACAAGAAAACACAAATTAATTAACCTGAACAAAAGGTTATGGGTTTCTTGAAGAAACAGATTTTGCTTTTGTTCAGCCTACATTTATACAGGTCAGTGTATGCTTGATGATTATCTACAAATCTTGCTTTTATGTTAATGACAGCTATGGTCACTAATTTTAAATAGCGTTTGTCATACCCAGGTCAAGATAAAAATAGCAAATTCTAAATGATAAGTTAGATTGTATTATGTAAACATAAGGTGACTTTGGCACTATGTTTCTCCTGGAACAGATGACTGTGTGGGACATATACAGTATACTATAATAAAAGGCATGTATTAATGACCATATTCTAACATATTTATCCTTAGTAATAACACAGCCCCTTTGGAGTGTGTACATATGAGTGCCACCTCTTCACCCATTTTCTGTTTACTAATTTGCTCCCTGCTTGGATCTCAAAGGTCAGTAGTCAGCAGTTGGACAGAAATTCTGGGCTGGTAATGCACCAGAGCAGGTTTGTGGTATGCACTCAAAAGAAACCAATCAGATAACATGCCACTGGCTTCCCTGTTCCAGCCAGATACCATTCCCAGGTCTAACTGGCAGTTATTACAACAGGTATTGTCTAATAAACGTTGCAAAAAAAAAGAGTTAAGTATTTGATGCAAGTATAATAGTCATTTCCAGGGTATAAAAAGGAAGAGATATGAAAACAAAGTACCCATATAGAAGAGAATGCTGGCAATATCTGTGGCCTTAAAAGTAGAGGGTGGGTAGCCTACCCATAGGAGAGGAGTGTGAGGTGTTGTTTATCTACAATGACATGGTCACTCGCACACGATGCGACTGCTATGAGGCCTTAGGTAGGGAAAGAGGCCCCATAAGGGGGGCTTTTGAGGCAAGCTAAACATATAAAATCTATGTGAATGTGAAGATAACACAAATCCAGTACTGTATCATCGAGGATTGCAGAGGTTTCTGTTGACACTGACCCTGTACGCCTTTTGATGTTTGCAATCAAGGCTGTTTGTTAGAGGTGACTTAAGAATAATTGTTGCTAGTAACCTATCCCACTTTGCAGGCTACATGGAAACGAGAACATTTTTAGTTGTCTGAAGTAGTATGGATTCATTGCCCTTAAAGCTTCTGGTCATCCCTGGCAACACTGAAATCAACCCTGTATGCCTAATGCAGTCTTCCTCAGGCTGTAAAAAAAATCCCAGATTATCTCCTCAGATATAATCCAACAGTTGTTTGTAGTTTGGCAACAAAACAACACAATGTAAATACATTTGTATTAGGGCTGTGGAGTAATTGTGTGCAGGAGTACTAACAATTATGTCAAAATATAAAATATTGTGAAAGTCATTATAATTGCTACTACAAATCTTTTTTTTCCAGTTTTGTTTTCTATGTTAACTTACTACTAACCTACTTGCTGTGGTTGTTGTATGGGTGGGAGGAATTTGAATTTACATTAAGGATCTGGGATCTGAGATGCTGAGAAAAAGACTGGTGAGCTACTGAGGGCACATGCAATGATATTCACTCTTTCTTGACAACTTCTGTCCATAGCAGTGGTCCTTAGTACTGCTCTGCATATGTTGACAGCTCTCCTGGTACCTGCCCCATATACAGGCATACTTTGTTAAGGTCTGTTACTGGAGGGAGGTCACTAGAGGGGGGGGGGGCAGGATTACATTTTAAAAGATCATGTGTAGTCATTTTACACATCACTTAAAATGACCCCCTCTGCAAGAGTTAATTTAAAAGAATCCTGGAGTTCCTCTTTAAGTAGAATAAAGAGGGGGTTGAAAATCCCTGTTAGCTAGCAAATCTAACTTTTCTGTGAACAGAGTATGCAGGTTATTAAACAACAAAAGGCAAATAAAGTACAATTGTGACATGTGGGGTACTCCACACTCACATGAGCAATTTAAGACAATGTTGTCAATTTTAGCATCTGCAGCCCATGCAACAGCTGTAAAAGTCACTGAAAGTCTCAGAACAAAAAATGCTGAATTCTGCCAAGCATGGTTCCATGTCGTAACACATTCTCTAGTTTTAAAATAATATTTACATATACACGGAGTAACTTTGTGAGATTGTTTGTGATGTCTAGGCATTTCAGGTTCTTTAACTGAATGAAACAGTTAACAGTGAAGACCTATTTTCATTGCAAATATAATAAATAAATGACAATTACCTAATAAGATCATCTATATTTTCTTCCACGACTGTAGGAGGGACATTAGAGACAATAACTTGCATATCCAGCTGATTAACCACAGAAACCTGAAAATATATAGACAAGAAAAATCATTGGAACTTGAAGGTAGCTTTCTATGCTATTTTTATAAAATGTTATAAATGTTTTCTCATCACCATAGTAGGCAATGTAATCTAATAACTACTAATTTGTGCTGAAAGCTGTATGAACTTGGGAGCCTTGACTTTCTTTTAGCAAACACAACTGCTGTGAAGTGTGAGCTGCTCAGCTAACAGTTACTTCTAAATGTGTTTTGTTTTGCTTATGTACAGTATGTACTGATTACAAGTAAATGAGGTTCCTTTTTCTGGAACAAATTTTCATATTCAGATTTTGTACTATGGCAAAAGCATGATTTGAATCTCCTGCACTCACTTTTTACAGAAACTGAGGATATTTATTCACATGTATAGGTTTTACAACTAAGTAATAACATAAGCCTGAATGCTTTTAAACCTTAAGGTGGACCTATGAGTTCACAAAAGACATGATGGTGCAATTAACTGAGTTCAGTTCAGAAAATTGTAGTGTATTTTGATGTGTAAACAAAGGTTGGCCCCTTGTCACTCCATCAGCTCTTGTTTTGGTGCCCCTATTACCACTATGAAAAAGCTTATAGATATTTAAATCTGTACACTAAAAACATAGGGATAAGGTTAGGAGAAATGTTGGTAAACATCTTGACAGCATCATACTTTGCTTCATACAACACATTCCAGGGCAAACTGCTCTTTCTCTATGTTTAAAGCGCTGTGCAGACTGTTGGCGCTATATAAAGCCTGCATAATAATACTAATATTAAAAATAATAATAATTATTTGACAAGGAAGAGTGGTTCCCATTGAAATGTTTTTTGAACTAAGGCAAAATGTAACACCTTGGGTGCATTTAAAAAAAAAATTCAGTGTGCAATTACTGTAATTGTTATGCAGCTCACCTTAAAGGACAAATAATAATAATAATAATAGTAATAAAAAAAATGGACCTACCTGCCTCTCTCTGACTTTAATATATGTGTTACAGAACTGAGACAAACATGCAGCCAGTGAAATGAATACCTCTGTTCTGGGGTCAGTGACTTAGTATTAAAGCAACTAGTAGGGTATAAATGGCAGCCCCCATACTCCCATTGTAAAAGGTTCCCTTGAATTTTCAACTCAAAGCATTTAAATTATAAGCTATTGTATACACATCTCAATCAGTTAGACTGAGGTTATATGAACATTTTGTCATACAGCACTTTTCTTTATGAAAAGGCTTTTTTACCATCTGTAAATCGGCATCAATTTAGCAAAGATTTCGGTGAGGATTACTCTCCTTTCCGTAGGTTCATGGGTGAGGTGAAATAAACTCCCAGACATTTTTTGCTGGTGCTTGTAGGATAGGGATACAAATACCTTTCCTTTTGTGTTAAAACATATACTGCATTTTCCATTAAAGTGATCCTGTCACTTCCTTAAGAAATAAAAATAAAAGCACCTTGCAGAAGAAGAGGAGGAATGCTCACCAGGTGGTGTAGTAAAACTTCACTCTCTTGTAGTGGGGAGTCACAGCAATTAAACACTTCTAGGTATTTGAAATAGCATGTCCCCTGATGGCTGCTGTGCTTCCTCCCACTTTCATTCCAATGGTGCTCGGTACTATATTCCTCCCTTCTTTTACAGGGAGCATTCATTTACGTTTTGTTAACCACTTGCTGCCTGGAGCAATTTCTTGATACTTGCACACACATGCTAAAATCCGAATTTTTGGCTACAAAACAGCTTTAGACACCGAAACAATTATATATTTTCTGAAAGCAGAGGCCCTGTAGAATAAAACCATGCTAGTTGCAATATTTATTTTGCATGGTATTTTCAGAAATGTTTATCAAACCAGTATTTTTAGGATAAAATGCATTAAAATTAAATTTAGTGCACAGAAACAGAATATAATTCCCAATTATTTTGTAAAATATAAAAGATGGGGTCATGTTGGATAAATAGATACCAAACATGTCAAGCGTTAAAATGGTGTTCTCCCGTGAAACCACAAAAAATACCCCAAATTTCCTATAGGCAATGCTTTAAAAGCTTTAAAAGCTTTTACTGCTCATCAGTTTAGTGTTACCAGTGATTGATCACTCTGATGTTCGCAACGATATGTAACGTGTGTAGTAATTATTTTTTTTACACGTAGGCACACCCGACACTTGTTTGCGTTGTATGTGCATGCACAAGCGGGGTGGGGGACTTTACAAAAATGTTGTGCATTTAAAAAAAAAATTATATGTTACTTTTTTTTTTCTTTACACTTAATTTTATTGCTATCTCATAGGGGAAACGGAAGTGACGTAATACACATCTGTTCCGTGTCCAATGATCAGAGGAGAGATCAGTGGCTTGAAGTTTGCAGGTCTCCCTCTGATCTGTCAGGAGATACCCAATTTTCCGGGCCTACACGGGGAACAGCGGAGCCCAGGAAAGGTGGTGGTGGACGGGATGGCGTGTGTGCATTCCGCCACACCGTACAAGCGATCCGGTGTCTGTATAGATGCCAGAACGCTTGTATCTAAAAAGCAATCACTGACCATTTAAAATTATACCAAGAACACGGCTGCAGTAACAGCCACAATCTTGGTATAACCGCTTCAGGACAGGACATATTTTGATGGTGGACAGTCCTGAAGTGGCTAAGGAAGTAACAGGGTAAATGTAAAGGAAGTCACATAAACACAGAAGCTGTTATTACCAGTGATGGTCTGAACACACATTGAGTTTGTTCGAGTTCAAACTTTATAACATGGAAAAAGTTTGAACTCAAATTTCGAACTCAATGAAAGTCTATGGGACCCGAACTCTGTTCCCCCTCCTAAACAACACCAGACCCTTTAGGTCTGGTAGGAAGGTTAGGAGGGACCCAATTTAAAATAAAACAAAAAAAGTGTGTGAGGTTCCCCCTCAAAGTCATACCAGGCCCTTAAAGTCTGGTAGGAATTTTAAGGAGGAACCCCCACCCCCAAAAATGGGGAAAAAAACCTGCACCCAATTTAATCTTTTGCCCCATGTGCTCCAAGATGGAGACTCTCATAGTTTAGAGTTAGGACCGCACTATATGGAGGTGCCCTGACGTGGCTGTGCGGATTTCAAATTTTCTGCAGAAGATTGTATCTAAACCTCTGCTTTTAACCTTAGTGGTTAGAAAGGTTTTTTTGCATGCTGGCTGGTGAGTGTGCCTGGAAACTTTTTGCTGTTTTACTGTTTGAAGCCATTCCGTGTGCACCTTGCTGTAAAGCTGGTAACGAATTGATGAGTGTGTTTGCCATTTGTTTTGCTTCCCTGCCATACCAAGCCACATGCCCTCGGCACTGGAAGGGGGCTTTTCCAGGGTCGGCCCTGAAAAAGCACCTTCTCCCCGTGCCAATGGGGACAAGGGCCTCTTCGTCATAAGCCCTGGGGCGTTGGCTGTTGGGGTGCAGGCAGGGGAGCTTTTTCACATTGGGGTACCCATTTAATAAAAAGGGGTACCCCCTTGTGAATGATTAAAGGGTACTTATACCCCTACCCAATTACTAAATTGTTAAATCAAATGTTAAAAAAATACGCCAGATTTTTGGAAAAATCCATTAATTGAAACAAAAACAAAAGACATAATTTTGACAACCCCCCCAGAAAATGGATCCACCCACATAATCCTAGGGTCAATCACAACGTCCAGTGTTGTCCGTGATGATGATGACTCGACAACATAAAAAAAATAAAATAAATGGAAATAATAAAAAATGGAATCTACAGGATGAGCATTACCTGTCAAAATAGTCCAGTGTTTTTGGGTGTAACATCAGGGTTCTCAGCCTGTTTTAGGAATGTGCTGGCACTTCTAGGAATGCATTTTATACTTGACAGAAGTTATGTTTATTTTAGTAACTGGTTTGCTTTAACCCCTTCATGACTGAGGCCTTTTTTTCATTTTTTGCACTAGCCGCCGGGAGTCTGTTTAAACAGCCCTGATGCTGGTGACGTACACTGTACGTTGTCAGTCACGAAGGAGTTAAAGGGAACCTGTGCCTTCTATTAAAAAGGTGATTGGCTGTCATCCTGGGAATATCATTGTAATATTTTGAGTTCCAGAACAAGCAATAAATCAAGTGCAGTCAGAATTCCTGATGTGCATTCTTGTTTTTTGTCAGTAGCTAAGAAAATATTGAAGTAATTTGATCATCATGAGAGCTGGGAAATTATCATTTTCAGAAGGAGAGATCAGTCATGGCAGTCTCCTTGACCTCTCAGTACAGGTTTTCTTTAAGTAATTGTAAACTCTACTTCAATTTCTGTCAATGCTATGGAGCTGTGTGCACTCCCATGGATGCACATGTCCAAGACAAAACTTGATTCAGCCATTGTAGTGGACCTGTGTTATTGCTTCAATGCTATATATAAATGCAGCCCCTACAACTCTAAGTGGAGGGCAACTAAAATCTAGTGTTGATAGCACTGCAATCAGTCTAGCTGATTTGTAGTCTGGCATTATCTGGTTAATTCTAGGTATTCTGCTATTGATTGCACCTACCTGTGAATGGGGTGTGACCCTGCCACAGAGTGGGGCAGCCAATAGGGGAACATTCGGATCATGAATGCCTCACCAGCCAATCACTAGGAGTTCCATGGCCAGTGGTGCATGCTGGGGAAGTGCATAAATTCTCAGGGATTGCCAAGTGCTCAATTCAGTCCAGCTTGGCCTGGGTGGTGGCATGTAAAAGGTTGGAGAAGTTGACTAGACCTCAAGCCTGCAGGAGGCCACATGTGGACCCAGGTGGGATCTGGAACTATCTGGAGACAAGTACTAGAGGAGCCCTATGACTGTTGAATGTACCAGGAGCTGATATGGACCTCAGGAACAAGTCTGGTGCCTCCCAGGGAAGAGCTCATGCACATCCCTTTTCAGCTGTTGTTCTACTGTACAGTGTTAGCCTGTTCTACTGAAGTATTTCTGCACTGTGGGAACCGGAAGGGATTTGTGAGTCTGGAGTCTGTCTATTTTTGCCATAGATGTCTGAAGCCCTATACCCTCTCTCCCAGTTCTGCTGTTCTGCAATAAAGCATTTAAAAAGGAACTTGACGTGACTGGCAAACAATTTGTCCATTGCACTTCCCTTCACTGGCTAAGCATCTGCCCCTGAGAGTGAAATGTTGGCCCTCCCTACCCTTTGGGGGTCCACCTCAGGCCCCTGGGGGTCATATATGAAAAACAAACAAACAAATGAATAAACCTGTCATGACTCAGGAAAAAGCTACACATCCCACAACCTTAATTTACAATTATGGGTCTACTTTCAAAGTGCTGATACTTAAGGACCATTTTTTAAGGACCAAGGGCACATTTCTCCATACATTTTCTATATTAACTCCTCTATGAGCTTCTACATAAACATTAAAAAATGACTGGGTTTCACACAAAAAATAGACCAATATTGCATAATTTTATAAAAAATGCATACAGACTGCAGTGTAAAACATTTTGTGTGTTTTAAAACCATATCCTGTCATATCAAAATATGACCTGTTTGTGGAAAACCTTTTGGATGGGAATAAAATATTTAGCTTTGAAAAATAAATAATGGTTCCTATTTTTAGGTGGTAAAGCATATAACAAAATATTTTAAAAATATAAACTAGAGGTATTTCATCAGTTACAGAGAGAAACTTTTATATACATATTTCTGAGCCCTTCTTTAGCTCTCAATCCACCTGAGAGGATCTTGTTTGTTTTAAATTCCATAAACAGTTTCTACTTGCAAGCGTGAACACAAGCAATAACATAAAACTTTTAGTCCAAGGGCTTTACTTCATACGGAATAACTTCAAACTCTCTCTAGGAAGCTGGACTTCAAGAACGCCAAGCTCAATTCTTAAGAAAGGGATCAATAGCTGTGACAAGCCACCCGTACTTAGGTAACACATGATATGATGTCATGCTAGAAAACAAAATTGCTTTTCAACCTGAAAGCTAAGATATTCTAAAAGCTCCAGACAAGAAAAATAATTAATAGGTTTCTTGTCTTGAAAGGCAATGTAAGATTTACAAATGGCCACCTAATCCATGCAAGTTTCTGAAATGGAAAAATGTCTGAAACTTGTACTGCCATCAGATTTGACTTTATATAGCAGCCTTATGCTGAAAAACTTTTTGAAACTCCAGCGACTCATAGAGATGATTACTTGAGGTCAATTCATGCAACAGCTTGACAACCCTAGGAGCTGAAAGATTTAGAAATCAATTTGTTTGACTTTTCTAATGTATTAAAGATTTATAAGTGTACCAAAAGTATTTATGAATTAATTGTGCTATTCATTGATACATACAGCATTAGGATAATTATGTGTTTGCTTCAGGATGCTAAATCCCCTTGTACTTTAATCTTTCACTGGGCCATCAAACATGTTTTGAAATCACAGATATAGGTGTTTCCTAGGGATGCACCGATACTGGTTTTTCAATATCGAATATGAGTACTGATATTTATATGTCAGTGCTCGCCAATAACGGGTACCAATACCGGTACTTCCGCTAGTCGGCTCTCCAGGCAATCAGGAAACCAGGCGGCGTGTTATTACCTACCGCCTGGCTTCTTGATTGCTCGTGAAGCCGACTTCCTGCTGTTTGGCCGGCTCGATGCTGATTGGCCGGGAAGCTGGCATGCCAGCCAATCAGCATGGAGCCAGCTTCCCGGCCAATCAGGAGGCTGGGAGGTGGCCCATGGCCCTGCTTCCTGATTGGCCAGGAAGCTGTCTACAAGCTGTTTGGCTGCCTCGAGGCTGATTGACTGGAAAGCCATCTTCCTGCCCCATCAGCATGGTGCCGGCCAGTCAGGAAGCTCGGTGGCAAGTCATTACCCACAACCCGGCTTCTTGACTGGCTGGGAAGCAGGCTCCATGTTCCCTTGCGGCACTGTCGAAGAAATCTCCCTCTGACCGGAAGTTCCAGTATTGGGGGTAAGTATTGGAGCATTTGGCTGAGTACTAGTACTCACCCAAATACTCGGTATCGGCATTGATACTAGTATCAGTATTAGGGATGTCCCAATACCGATACTAGCATCGGTATCAGGACCAATACATAGCGCCGATGCTTGCACATTAGTGTTGAATTCGTATCGCCCGATGCCCGGGACATGTAGTTCCAGGCGCCGGGCAAGCAAGAGCAAACTGAGAGCAGGGGGCCTGGGACACTGAGAGCAGGGGGTGTGGAGCGGTGACAGAACGGGGTGCATGGAGCGGTGACAGGCTGTGTCACCTCCCTCAGCCTCTGTCCCCGGCCACTGCTCATTCTTGTCACAGGAGTTCTAGCACAGTGCCGTGCTAGAACTCCTGTGTTGGAGGTGACAGGGTCAATAAAGAGTACCTGTCACCTCCAGATGCTATCATACAGGGGTTTGTTAGCCCCTGTGTGATAGCAATAAAGTTAAGTGAAAAAAATAGTTAATAAAGGAAAAAATAATAAAGTAAAACATTTAAAACATATTAACTAATTAAAAATGTAACTAAATAAAAATGTAAAAAAATAAAAAGGCGATAAAGTAAAAATAATAAAATAAATGAAAATTTTAAAAATTAAAACTAGCCTCGCTGCCCCTCATTATCTGCATGCGAATAAATGTGCAGTGTGCAACCGCATGGGCAGGGTGGTATTGCGGCAGGAAACCATACAATCTGCCTGGCATGACTGGGGTGCCATTACAATTTAATGGCACTGTCAGCGCAATCAGCGATGATGTGCGATCCATGACCGCCTGGTCATTGCGTACGAAACCGAGCAGATGGCTGGGCGGTCACGGAATTGCACACCACCGCCGATCGAGCTGGCAGCGCCATTATTTTCTAATGGTACTCCATTCGCGCCAATCAGATTGCACGGTTTCCCGCCCGCAATACCGCCTGGGCAGTCCCACATGATCGCGGTTGAAAACATGAATAGGTTAAATGATCCTAGAGGCAGATGCATGATTGGATTTGTAGTTTCACTACAGCTGCGTGAAAGCAAATAAAAATGTTTTATTGTGCTAAACCAGCCTTAAATTAAAGTTCTTGACAATCATAAAGAAATTGGCCTAAAATTATTAGTCTGTATTGGTTTTTTTTTTAAACATGAATTTTGTATTGGAAGTTTTCAGAAATACAAAATCCGAATAATACAGTATTATTACAAAAAAGCAGGTCATAGTGATATTCTGACGTTGAAAAAGGCATGGGTTGACCTAGTAGGTGGTATAAACAACAGCGGTGTGGGATAACAGTCTACAGGTCACTCATGCAATAGGAAGAAGGAAGAATTGGGGGAGTCTGTATTGTTTTTTTTTTTTTAAATGTCACCTGTGCCTTTAAGAAAAAGTATCAGTAATTGGTATCAGCAAGTACATGAGGGGAAGTACCTGTACTTGGTCTTGAAAAAGTGGTATCGGGACATCCCTAATCGGTATCAGTGCATCCCTAATGTTTATGTTAGATGTCTTGGACCCTAGTATTGTGCTTACATTATTAAGGACAGAACATGATGATATTATTACTATGTTATAAAAAGTGCAGTCTTTTTTTGCAAAGTGCTGTGCTTTCTATTCCAACACGGCACCATGTCTTCAAATGGAAAACTCAGCATTTGACTAACACTCTGGTTAACATAAACCCTTGGGATTCTTTGCAAGATTTTTTTCTATGCATAGAGAATCCTATGATCATTCCTGGTCTTTTCAACCACATTCTAATTTTTTTTTGTTTTTCCTGTGACACCCTGCACCCGATTTATTGCTAGGGGCTATCACACCAGTTTCATTTTCTTTATGATTTTAATAATTAGCTCCACTATTGCACACAAGTGGAAATTACTGCAACTAAAACAGGGCAGCAAAACTAAAAAAAACTCGTCACCTGACCATTCATTGCAACACAAATCTTCCCATAAGATTATACAGTATGTGCATTTGACTTATTTTATGCATTTGTTTTCCTTTTTTAGACATCCAAAAGACATGGGACTGCTACTGGATACCGCCATCTTAAATGTGATGCCAGCACTCTTAAGCCAGGGGTAGGCAAATTCTGGCCCTCCACCTGTTGTGTAACTTCAAATCCCACAGCTGGAGGGATGCTCTATAATAGTCACATTTGCTCCTCACCTGGTAGCTACTGTACATAAGAGGTTATATAGGGAGGTAAGCGGAGAGGAGGAGGGGCTGGGCCAGTACATACTGTAATCAGACACTCCCAGAAGAGCAGTGGGCTATGATGTTCAAGGAAAGAGGGGGTTTTTACCATAAATATAATTTATGGTAAAAACCTGTGCAAGTGAGCATTTAAAATACTAGATACTGTGCTTTTACCTGCAATTTTTTAAGTTGGTGACAGGGTTTCTTTTGGCTTTTTTAGGGTTGGGGGTCTCAAGCTACAATTAACCCTTTCGCTGCCAAGCCCTCCGGAACATTTTTCAAATCAGCTGGCCAAGCCATTTTTGAATTTTCAAAAACCAGTGAACTAACATAATTTAGTTAGTTTTTTCCCCCTTGTGTCTGCAGAATGAATGCACTTCAGGTAATCAAAGACAGAGGATGGGGGAGGGTTTATTTTTAAAACTATCTTGCCTAAAATTGGTGATTTGGTGTGTAATTCACTATGCAGAAAAACACGGAAATTCATGCATGTATATCTATCTATCTATCTATTGTATATGTCTTATTTTGCATTGATAATAACGAAATTAAAAAAAACCCAACAAATAAATATTGAAGTTGTACTTACAATAACATCTGCTTTGCTGCTTAACCCTTTTCCATAATCATCTGTTGCAACTACTTCAAATTTAAAATAAGACCGTCTCATGTTCTTGAAGAGCATCGCTGTTTTGATGATGCCACTGTAGAATTCAATCACAAAACCTTCTTTCCCATCTTTAATTGGTGGTACAATTAGTTTATAGGTGTTAGCACTGTAGTTCCCGGTGTCTTTATCTGTAGTCTGAAATGAGAACAGAAGCATTAATAAATTACTGTTTGTTTTTCTTTAACATAACTTAAATATATTTTTCCTTTTTCAGTTATATTACTACATTTTACATTAAAGGGCCAACCAGAGGCCCAAACTAGCATTTGTAAGTGGCTTTGACAGAAAGAGAAAATGTTCCCAGTACTTTTTGGAAATGAAGATATTTGAATAAAGCTGACCAGGGGGTTGTTTAAAACATTCAGCTTTTGTCCTGTTTTCCTTTCTTTTTCCTTTCTTGTCAGAGCTCACTCTCACTGTGGCTTTAAGATCACTACTGTGCTGCTCACCATCTTCCTTGATAGAGAGAAAGCTGTAGTGCAAGAATCTCCCCTGTGTCTGCTACATTAATTCTGTGTATCCATATGTCCTTTGCTGCTTCTTGATTATTACCCCATTCATAAGATAACCAGTCATGAGTGGTACATTTCTGACATGGGAAAGCAAAGCTCTACTCCTGCCTACCAAGATGGCGACCTCCACAAATACACATTGTGCAACAAGACATGGTAAGCCAGAAAACAAGAAAAGACCAGCTGCAGGGAACCTACAAACAATACTGGAGACAATTATTTTGCGCAATGCTTTCCTGTTTTTTGGGCACAGTTTCCTCAGCTTATGTATTTTTCAAATGTGTGCATTGAGCCAAGGGGCTTAGTTCACAAGTAAGTGGCAAGGTGCTGCAGTATGGCTGCCCAAATTTCCCAGTTAGCATTGTGATGCGGGTTTTAATTGTTTCCTCATGCTTCCCACCAAGAAAGCAGGTCAGGTGCAAATGGATTGCTGCCCATGGCAACCAGCTTCTCTAAATTGTAATGTAGCGGAATAGTAAAGCTTGAAGTGCATGTATGTGTTTTACTTTAGAAGAGCTTTATTCCCCTTTCAACACCACACTGCAATGCAGGCAGGGGGAAAACAGTTTGTGCAAAACTTATTTGTATTGGATGCAAAAGATCATTCCACATGGGAAGGGATTTATAACAACTGGGGCAGACAGAATTTGTAGTAGTTTACCATGGCAACCAGTCAGCTCCTCTCTTTAGTTTGTTCTGTTAAGTTTAAAAATGAAACAGAGAAGCTGATTGGTTGCCATGGGCAACTGCTCTAGGCTTTGCCTGATCCAGTTTTTGATTTCCCCCATTATCTTTATGTAACCATGAGAAGGTCTTAGCACCTGTAAGTACATCAGGAAATAATATTGAGCATTCTTTAAATTACTTTGGCACTTAAAATCAGAATGACACAGTTGCTTGTTGTTCAATGCCTTTTCAACAGAATATACTTCTGTAAAGTGGGCATCAATTGTTTGACCCATGATATTCTTTGTGTTTACACTGAATAACTGAGGTTATTTCTTGCTCAAGGGCAAATTAGCAGAATTCTGTTCAGAAAAATAACTTATCTGTGTTTGAACACATCTATCAATTCAAAAGCATGGTGCAGCTGGTAGTCCTTAAGGAAATTTAATGGTACGCAAAGACGGGAAAACAGTGTTCTGTCATGTCTTTAAATAGCACTGTATCTCTCTAGGAAGTAACATGCCCGTAGATGTTTTAAAGAATTGAGTTATAATGAAAGAGACTGGAGGGGTCTTTTTTCCAGTATGTGTATTGTTAATGCTCAGACATTGAGTAGTTGTTTGTTGGTGTATACAGTGGTCTGGCAAAGCATTATGATGACTTTCATCATTTGGATCTTGTTAACATAGATGATATCAAACTGGATGTTATATTTTCTTTATAGGTTATAGGTTCATTGGTTAATATGATTATTATAGGTGAGATCCTGTAATTATTCCTTCACTAAAACTGCTTATTATATTATTTAGCAAGCCAGTGGCTAATATGGTATTACAGCAGTAGTAATGTAGCAGGATGGCAGCATAATATACCCTTTCAGTCTAAAAGTTAAACAGTTCACATATTTTAACTGTATTTATCAATATGTTGATTAATTGATTGATTGATTGATTGAGCCATTCCTCCCTATTTCGGGCTGTGTCTTTTTCATATCCAAGGTAAATAACACAACAAAAGTTGAGGTTCCAGTATAAAAAGGGCAGTAATGGCATACATTATACATGTTCATCAAATCAATATTTTGTGCACCTAAAAATTTATAAATATAACAGAACTCCAACCTAGCAGCTGTACAAATATCACACATATATTTAAAAGTTAATAATACCAATGTAGAGTGCTAAAAATAAAATAAACCCTATAGAAATCATAAATAATAGATATGAATAAGTATCCCTAACAATGTATAAACAGTGATTATCAATCCATAAAACAAATGGTCAATGAATATAATAATAATAATAATAATGATGCTTATCCACTTAGTAAACTGTGCACAAAAAAAACAACGAACACTGTTATTTAAAAAAAAAAAGTATCCTTTAAAATTGTGAAATGTCAATAAAAAGTGCATCAGAACAAACGTCATCCACAAAATGCAAGTTGTTTCCACAAGATCTGTGTAAACAGGATTCAGTGAGGTAATGCGCCAGATCCACTCCACAAGAGCACACCAAAGGTCACTTCCTAATTTTAAACCCTTAAATGGTCAGTTCACCTTTTTACAAAACATGAAAAAATTAACTTATAGCATACCCCCAGTCTCTGTTGTCCTTACCTGTGTGATGTTCCCTCCAGTTGGTGTAGCGGTCCATACACTGTACACCACGCTTTGCAGCCCTGCAGTCTGTAATGATCATAATTTTGCAGATGGCGAGCGCTCATTGGTCAGCAGTCACATGACCATGGTGGCCAATAAGAAGCAGTTCTTAACTGGGGAACAGGTCCTGGAAGTAAGAAGTGCTGTTCATGCTGACCAATGTGATTTCACCATTTTGGAGCATTATGATTGTTACAGACTTCAACTGTGAAGTGCAGTGTATGGTGTTTGGACTGCTACACCGGCTGGTGGGGCATCACACAGGTAAGCACAGTGGAGACCAGGAGAAGTGGGGCGCATTGTAAGTTAATTTTTCACATTTTGTGAAAAGGTGAACGTACCTCTTAAATGAATAAGCAGGTCAAAAAGTGCAGGTATGATGAGTCCATACAGATTCCAGGAAAGTTGGATAGCCACAGTATTCCATAACAGACACATTTCAGCAAAGAAACCATAAAAGAGGAGGTTAAGAGGATTATCACACCAACAATCTTTATTAAAAAAAGTTCAATAAAAAGACCAATATCCACTTACATCAAAGTGTGCTATCACCCAGCACTAAGGAATGAGCAGCTTATGCTTGCTGAGAAGACACCACACTAGTGTTGCTAGTCACAGTGCAACTTTCTACAGCTGATCAAGGCCAGTCCCAGTGGCTGGTTACAGTTCCAGTTTCTTGAGTTTTACTGAGTGTTTCTATTTTGCCAGGGTTTTTGCTGATCATAGCCAGGGCCAGTATTTCCAGTTTGCTAATTAAAGTTATTGCCAGGATTTCCAGTAAGCTGATCACAGCCAGTGTAAGCATTTTCAGTTTGTTAATCACAGCCGGTGGCAGTGTTTCCAGGTTGCTGATCACAACCAGCACCAGTGTTTTCATTTTTCTGATCACAGCCAGTCCAAATGTTACTAATCGCAGCTAGTGCTGGTATTTTCAGTTTGCTGATCACAGTCAAAGCCAGTGTTGCTGATCACAGCCAGCACCATTGTTTTCAGTTTGCTGATCACAGCCAGCCCTAGTGTTGTTGATTTCAGAAAGTGCCAATAGAACAGTGGTGTTCATTGCAACCACTACTACTGTTTCCAGTGTTGCTGATCACAGCCACTGCCATCGTTTCCAGTGTTGCTGATTTACATATTTTTTGCTCTCTGTGTCTCCATTGTAAATGTTTCCACTTACTTTCTGTGTGGTCACTGGGGTAGGAAGTGAGGAAAATGTCCCCAGAGATATACAATAATAAAAATATATAAGGTATAGGGAAAGAGTGGGGTTATGAGTACAACTCAGACCAACTGGTGTGCAAGTAAATAATTGCCAGAATTGTTTTGTTCAAGTTACATTCAGTTGCACTGAGCACGTTTCAGGCAAAGAGTCCCTCTTCATCAGAGGTGTAGGAAAATCACAAACACCATTTCAGTGACTACCACAATATATAAAAACATGAGGATGATATTCACTGTATCTCTTATGTGATATTACTGTAGCACTAATGAAGATGGAGGTTTGAACCCTGGAAACATATTGGATTAAAGAAAATTTGACTCACAATAATATAAATTAAAAAACAACTTCTGGAATGTAAAAAATACTTCTAGTGCTTATGGGTATTTTATTATACTTGTAATAATAATCTGACACAGGTTCTAAACCTTCCTCCACTATACTAAGAGTGCTCAATAATATAAATTAAAAAACAACTTCTGGAATGTAAAAAATACTTCTAGTGCTTATGGTTATTTTATTATACCCGTAATAATAATAATCTGACACAGGTTCTAAACCTTCCTACACAATACTAAGAGTGCTATATTTGCTGTTTGCGTGCCTGTTGCAGTGATTAAAGTTGGCCACACCTATAGATTATCTGCAGATTTCCTATGGTAAGATGGAAACTGTGTGCACGGAGGAATCTCCCACTGGGCCAAGCTTCAGTCGGCCCTGCTGGCTGTCATAATACCTTAACAATCTGATTAGATGCAGGCAATGTTTAGGTATTTTGAGGTACAAAATGGGGAACAGTAGTAAGTGAAGTCTTGCACAAACATTTAAAGAGTAACTCCAGGCTGTTACAATTTACAATCTACAGTACAATGACAAAATACATGGTCTGCCCACTCTCATTTGTGGTTTGGTAGTATGTGTCTATTTAAAATGGACATCCTTCCTCGCATTCTCTGTATATTCCACACTGTCCATATAGGGGTCCTGAAATCCTTCTTTAAAACTTTGAGATCCTCCCTTTATGAGCTAACTCACCTGTTAACTCATGGTACAAAATCTTAGTGAAATGAAACAACAT